TGTTTTTTCTGAGATCAGCTATTTCTCATGTTTCTACCGGCATTCATCACCTTGGTATGGAATTTGAACATTAATAAGTACTTTGATATTTACTAATGCGTTTCAGTATGATACTTATTTTTGCATTCGACACAGCGTATATGCAATGTACAATGATAAGTAGGCATTGCAACGTATTTCCTGTGGAAGGTATGAGCTGAAGCTTTAGCGAAAGAGGAAGGATACAGGAACATGCAACTATTGAAGGCGAACCATTTTTTCTTTCCATCCCAGTTCTTCTCGCCGGAATGCCGAGCCTCCATCATGCGCGAAACTCCGGTAGTAGCAGGCTCATAAATTTGCGTGAAACGAACGGTCGAGTCCTGCTGTATCTGTTCACAAAGGACGAAGAGACTGAGCTCTCACAGACAATCTGCACGATGGTCTTGGCAGTAAAACAGTCTCCAGCTCTGTCGATTTCTCTACTGCGGTACCGCTATGTCGAAAGCCACCTCTAATCACTTCATAAAAATAAGCTATTTAAACTAAAGTGAGGTTTGGTGGGCTCTGCGTTGCACTGTTTACGGGTTTTGTTTAATCATTCTACGATTTCGAAGAGTCATGTATCATCCATGCCATTTTATGAGGGAGGATATGACTTTATAGTGCTGTGCGCTGACTACAGACACTGTTTCTTCTCCAAGAGCGACGAAGATAGGCAATTCTTTCTTGAACGTTTTTACACGAGAAGGTCTAAGGTGTTATATTAAAGTAGAAACAATCGATCACGACGGTAGCCATTGTTCTTGTAACTTAACCAGAGCCGCAAATGTTTGATAGCCTTTAATTTTTTGTTCTCTATCCATGATTCAAGACAATTGTCGTCGAGGGCTGAAAGGTTACATCTGAAACTTGACCTAGCGTGTATGGCTCCTGGCTAAAAACCTTTCACTGAAACATTATCTGACACACACCTCAAGAGTGTCACCTCCATTGCACCTTCCACTTCTGTCAATAGCCATTGACAGTGTCATAATTCCATATTTTAGTCGGTAGAGCATCGAATGATTCCTCTTACGCAGATGCTCTATGTCAAGTGTTTCGTGCCCTGACAGAATCTCCTCTTACGACACTTGCTCGCCCTTGACCGTCCTCGTGGCTTGTCCTTACGTGATCGAATGGACCGTCGGAATAATGGCGACCCAGTGTACGACCGGCAGACCGTTTCCGACCTTGCAAAGTTATTCGTCATCACCCGCTTGACCCGCACTTGTCGTTAGAAACTTCTGTTCGGTGGTTCGGTTCGAGTCTGTCACCGTCATTTGTCGAACTACTTAACAATACGACTCAATAAGCGATGCTGCGAAAAGTTAAGTGCCTTGTCGATTGTGCTTTCTGTCGAGCAAATTCAAACGAACACATTTTCAAGCACACTTCGACTTTTCCCGTAACCCACGTCCAGAAACAGCAGCCGTATTCTCAGGACTGTGAAGTAAATTCGGCCTTTGGTAAGGTTTAAGTACGGCTCCATTGTTCATCGTTTCGTGGGCTCCACTTAGAAACGAACCATCGATCGACCTTCGCCAAGTTTATCTTTTTCCAACCCGCAGTATATCGAAGCAAACCACGGAGGAAGACCAGTATTTGCAGGAGAAAGTGCCTGATTCATATTCCGTTCGATGATGTTGTTTTGTATTGAAATGCCATGCAGCCATGACCTGGTCAGATGGTCCCCCAAGGTTCTAGAAGCAAGAGACGATGCAATTTTGCAGCAACAGTGACCAACTGCCATTCATTATGGCAGTATTGGTCTAAACCCCCAGTCGTTACCTTAGACGAACTTGTCATAAACTGAATGAAACTGCTTTACAACCGTTTTTTTATTGCTGACAGACTTTTGCCCAAACTAGAAGTATGCCTCTGAAATGGTGCTCCAGCTCTATAAGTTGTGAGTACTTCCCGCGTTACTGAAATTCGAATGTTTATCGGAAAAAATTGCCATGAACCGATACTCTTTTGCCTGATCCTCGTGCTAAAAATTTTTCTGCTTTTCATTGGCTAATTTCTTCGAATGGCTGCGTAGAAGAATTCGCTCTCCCATAGCAGAGGCTATGATCGGGTTATCCCATCCGAACCTTAGAAAAAACCAAAAGGCTGTTTGCGCTGTTTTGAGCCCGACCAACTCGAAGATATGACCAATAGAGCCGAGTGCCAGCGGAATCGTCGATATATGCAGAATCGCAAAACTGCCTACCACATGCCTACCATTTTGTATACAGAATAGTCTCTTGTCAAGCGATGAAAGACCGGCGGTCATCGCTTAAAAGTGACCTGCCCAAAAACGGTTTCTTCCGTTTCATTTCATGTCAGCAAAATATGCACTCGAGGTTTCGGACAACCAGTATTAACACAGAGGCGAGAATCGATTCTGCCGAAAAGTTTCCTTTCCAAATACTCAGCGAGTCTGTGTGAGTTTCAGTGATGAAATGGGTCAGTTTTTTCCTAGAGAAAGCTACGCAACTCTGACTTCAACTGGCTGTGTTGTTTTAATGATTGACTTGACCTCAACTTGGGCAGTGTAAGTGGCCACTTCACGGAGCATCTTCAGGATTGGATGCGATGATGAGCGGCAAATTTAAATTTAAGCGGATGGGTGATCATCTTCATGCATCTATCAGTCACTTCACTGTTGGCACAGGCAATCGGGGATCAGCTATCTCAAGGCGGTTAAATATGCAGGGACAAAGAGCGACAGTTCAGCAGTGTACACAACAACAATGGTCTCGATGCGCCATTGAAATCAAATGCACACGCTACATATAGAATTAGCCTATCCTCTCGTGAACAGCTGCATGTTCAGAAAAGTTAGAGATTAGGAAAATGAGGTTTATCCTCTTAGAAAGCCATGCCCAACACAAATCTTTTCTTCGACTCGCAATCTCTTCCTGTCCGAACGAAACACAGAAAATGTCAGCCAAAGGTCAGCAGACAACTTGAATGAGCAAGATAAAGCTGATCTGGCTTCAAACAGGAATGTTCCATCAGTTGTGGAACTATTCAATTCCTTTTCATGCACAAGTACCTTCACCGAATGCCGAGGTTGGAAGAAGATGGTTCGTTAAGTTGGAACAATTGGTCGGGCATTAGGGTTGTTGTGACACTGCAGCAATGAGGTCAGCTTTGTGCTCCACAGGTGCCGGCATTCAATCGTTGTTTTAACCGCGAATTCCATGGAGCAAGTGGTTACGTAGGTTCCGCCTAACTAGCCGAAGAAAGGGTAGTAAGTCGGACACTTGCTTGCGACAGTTG